TGACACAGCTCGCAAATCCCTTGATTGCCAATCCATCAAGAGCTGGAGGAATAACCACGAAAAGTGGTGGTTAGGGAAGTGTAAATGGATGGAGAAGATTACGGCTATCGGTAATAGTCACAATGTTCTTCATTTAACTGAAGTACAAGCCCAAGGAAAATAGGTGTAAGTAAGGTCATTAAGGAGTCTGATTCATATTCAGCAACGCCACCTCGATGGATGGGTAGCACATTTTAAAGCGCAGTTCAGCTGTCCCCCGTCGACAAAAGCGCTCCCACTTCCTGTTTCAATTTGGCAAATACCGCCAGTTGATATCTGTCCTTCATCTGAATTGGAAGTTAGCCGGGAAATCAGTTATCTCAAAGGTACAAGATACCCGGTTGGGCTTCACGTATGAAATCACTTCAAATCCATGTTGTACCACAGAATCCCATTATGAGGTACCGCAACGAAATGTTCTGTTGTGAATTTATTTCACATGAATTCAATCACATTACTATTCCCTCTGTTCAAATGTTTTTTTACCTCCCCTTCTCAGCGACTTAAAATGTGGCAATCTGCTGGTGAAAGACGATGGCATCATACAGATAGCCGATTTCGGAGTGGCCGGATTCTTAGCCACGCAGCCTCTGACCGCCACTGGTAGTGTTGATTTGCGGCGATTCACATTTGTCGGCACGCCATGCTGGATGGCTCCGGAGGTGATGCAACAGGTTTGTGTTTCTTTCTAGTCTATTTTCCTCTTGAACTTCATATGCCGGATGTCATTTCCGTATCTGGTCGTCCAAATAGTAACTATTTAATTTGGTAATAAAGTATCCCATGTTATTGGAGTGTAATTCATAATGTGCATTACAAAAGAGATTGTGACGAAGGGTAACTTTGTCTTCATTCATTTTTTTGTTAAACCCGTTACAGCTTAATTGGATTGATGTGCACAATGTGTATTGCACGCACTCGGTTGCATCTCCTGTTCACTGTTAGAAGTAATTTCACCCAGGTCTTGATCCATAGGTTCAATTCACGTTCGGGGACGATCGCCGGTGATGCCTGGGGAAGTGCCGAGTTTTCGTTTGGCAAAGTATGTCTGCAACCCAAAGCTATAAATATGCGTCCGTATAAGACATGTTTACGCTCGTAAATATTTACGCCCCCTTAACTAGTTGAGATCATTGCGGTTATTCGTACCCTGTGATTGGAGAACGCTTTACTGCGGTCTGATGGTGGAACAGGCTCTCTAAGACGCGGGCAAATGCCCAGACACAATCTCCACTTGACCCCAACAAACATCTTCGATTGATGTAGAACTCTAAGCTATCATACATTAAATAATACCAATGTGTGTATAGGTTGCTAAAACGATGTTGCGTTCTCCAGCGTAGTGGTGCAATGGTTTAGTCGCTGTCACGGGCCGGCTTTGGACCCTGTGGTCCGAGGTTGAAGCCCCGCCATCTCCACTCAAATTTGGTGATAGGTTGCTTTGCTGTCGTCCGGTTCTGTACCACGCCTGACCTAGCGAGACCTTATGGGGTTCTCCACTCCAAGTCCCAGGGCTTAGGTTGCCGGTTAGTCACTCAACAGCAGGTCTCCGAGGCTATGGGGTCCGCCCAGTCTGCTATTCATCCCACAAGCACAAGCATTTAACCGATATTAGCAAATCATTGTTGCAACCAGTCAATCTGCAGTATGTAACCTGTTCTCTTTAATAACTAGTCTACTGCCCTATAGTAATAAATTCGTCTGTTAATTCCAAGTTAGGAGATATTCCTAGCGGCTGGTGATTTCACTCTTTGTTTCTACATCATTTCAGATATGACCGGTTTTCGTGGATGCATTCATTTCTTTATATCGAACTATCATATAAGTGAATATGCGACAAGAAACGATGACTGATGTGTGCTTTGTGTGGCCGATCACTTTGCTGTCCGGATTCTTCCCAAAGACTCGCTATTCGACTGTAGGTCTTAGTTCACCAACTCTTAACCGGATTTCGACTCTACCATCCACCATTTGATGAGCCAGAACGGTGGTGTTGGTGTGACTGCTGATCTGCCGTTGTACATAGGACTGTGTAAATTCAATACACTATCCCGTTATAAACATTAACGCTGACTGCCGATCAACTCAACACGCTTCCTTGTATGGGCTAGTTAATGCAAATAATCCGGGGTAGTATCAATGACAAGTAGCCGGCTCAAGAGAAAGCAGCGCAAAATGTTTTGTTTGCTTGTTTGCACTCTCGATTATTAGCGCGAGGGATTGAGAACTACTCTATGCAATTCATTCCCGTTACCATTTGAAAGGTGTTGTTCTACAGATTGTACGATAGGCTTTTCAACCAAGCCAAATACCTATCGATCGGAGCTTTACGCGCATCACGATAGCGCCCCCGAAAGCTTTGTTTATCACGACCTAGTAGAACGAATTGAATCTATAATTACTGTTCGGTCATGGTATTGAGTTGGACGACAGCTTAGGTGCGTATTTCAATAAGGTATGGTAAAGTGGTTTCATTCCTATCGTCGCTATCAATCGTTTCACCAACGTTGATGGCTTGTACGACTAGCTACTTACAAGCTCTAATCTCAATTTTTTTGATTACACACCTTAGTGTGATGAACAGTGAATGAGGAAAGCGTCCCAGTCACGAGGATCTGCTGTTCAGTGATAAAAAACCGGTATTCTAAGCCCCGAGACTTAGATTGTCGAACCACATGGAACCTCGCTAGGTTAGGCGTGGTGAATTTATTTGTATCTATCCAATTTTAGTCACGTTCACTGTACTGTCAAGGAATCAATCATATCATCTTTTTCTTTACATACCGCGTATTGTAGATCTTATATGTCTAGGTACCGTCTGACCGTCAGAGTGTACTTATACGAAATGAAATTATTCGTTCTTCTCAGTGGTTCATGCTGTCCCAGATCATTCCATTTTGGATTTGAATTTCGTCGCTTGTGTGCGAATTGCATTGTGAATGATACGTGCTATGTTGCCTGGATTTCCACGGCTTTTTGCATAATCTGTTTCTTTTTTTTTGGTTCACAAACTGAACACGGGTTTTTTTCCGCATGGTTCTGCGCCGAACATGGTCCCGGAAGTGCCAGAGACAAGGATACGATCCTGTTCCGTACCTGGCTACAATATTCTCGAGTAGAATGTACTTTGTAAAATAAAAACACTTTATATGGAAACTAGGCTATGAAAGAATCCAAAATCAGGAAAGAGAAAAATTGAATACCGAACAAAAAATATTGTTCGAGGTAACTAGGAGTAACATGGGGATAGTTGTTTTCTGTGCAGTGTAGGGAATACAGGGATCGTGTTTGCGAGATGCAAACTTATAAGAAATTTTAGAGTTTATTAGGAGAGAGCTTGAATTTGGATTGCTCCAAGCAACGATCACAATCTATTCCGGATGAAAATGTGCCGAAATTGTTCTCACGGGGGAAATCGTGGTGCACAAGTGGGGTTGCTCAAACAAGGTGGGATGATGAAAAATGGTAAAAATGTCCGAAATCTCGTGTTTTCTCTTTCATACTACAGTCATTGCCTAATATGTAATTTTTAATGCTTTTACTGGTAGAAATGTTATTGTTGTTTTTTGCAACTAATTGCAACTTGGATTTCTGCTTCGTTTTTCAAAAGGCCCGTGGTTATAATCAGAAGGCCGACATATGGTCTTTGGGTATCACCACAATCGAAATGGCCACAGGTCAAGCACCGTATGCGAAATATGCTCCCATGAAAGTAAGCTAACTAACTTTTTCCTCTACCAGTGTTTTTTTTTATCCGACTGCATTTTTGCATATGCACACAGCTGAATGCTACCAGGCGCGTTCCCGGGTTGGGGATATTAGGAGATACCGTCACTGAAGAAGGTTAGCTGTCAATAAATTATGACTGACACCGCAACAAATAAGCAGTCGGGAACAAATAGCCGCGGCATTACCAGGGTGTGGTGGGTTTCAGGCTGGTCATTCGGCTCCCGTTTAAGCCCAATGACGGTGTCGTGACAAAAAGGTCGATGTGACTGACCTTTTCCAAATAACCTCGTTGACCCCCTCACTTTCCGAGGCGAGGGATTAGTTCCTGTCGCCTTGCAGTTCGCATTTGATCGTGCAAAGGTTATAGGCGCACCCTAAAAATAGAAAAGGCCGAGTAAAGATGGGGACGTCTCTCGTAC